ACTAATATAGAGGCGACACCCCTCTGAACCCCTAACAAACTCATCATGAAGCTTGATCGACGAAATAGAAGACCCTGAGTGAATAATTGATTAGCACAATCACACTCCATATAATAACAATTTATAACCTATAAATCTTAAATCATGTTTCCTCCTCTTTTTTAGCTTGAATATGCAAGCTCACAAACTTATCTTTCTCCCTCACAAGCTATTAGAGCCCATCAAAGCCTTCCATCAGTACCACGATTTCCTTCTCCAACAATCTCGAGCCCCAGAGGTGAGCCCAATCTTTAAAAGTTAGTGACTAGTCATGCTCAAGCATTCCACATGAGCTTGACTTAAGCTAGAGAGTTGGTAAACCTCAATCTCCAGTTCAAGACAGGCGTTGAGAAACCAAGTTCCGCTAACTCAAGTTGGCTCAACTCATCTACACCCCTAGTGAGCTAGCCTTGTGGACCCTGAGATTATTTGAGGCCTTAAACAAGCTTACCAGAGTCCAGTTGTCAAAATAATTGGTGTAGGGCCTGAATTGCATGTAGGTAAGCTTGTGAAAGTGCCAAAAAGAGAAAACATTAATAATAGGGCCTCATTTATTTGTACCATCGAGAAAGGGAGAAATATGGGCCAATCTTACGGTATCAGTGTGTCGCTGAGAAATAATGGATGGCTTGGTTGGTTAAGCGTCGCTCTTCGTCTTCTTCCTCTTTACTAAAGCTGCTTCTTCTTTCTTGTCCATAACCCGTGCTCCTCTTGGCTTTCCTCCTTCATTGCCCCCCATCTCTCTCTCTCTCTCTCTACACGAAAAGATTGCACTTATTAACCAAAAACTCCAACTTTATCTTCTTATTCTAAATAACAGGCAAGCACGTAGTGTAGTTATAAGCTGCCTGTTTCTTGTGATTTTAAGCATTGCCTATTTTTTAAGCTCAGCTCTCTCTCTCTCCTCCCGAAGTAAAGGAGCCAGCTTTCTCTACCAAACTCTTCCTTCGATCTCCACTTATTCATTCTACTAAAGAAGCGCTTCAATGAATTCTTTCCCCTTACTGCGACCTCTGCTCTAGTACTCGATCAAAATTGCATCTTTTTCAACTCATCATGTCGGATCAGGGGAGCCCCTCCGAGCAGGACAGTTCCCCTTCATCCTCCTGGCCGTCGTCTTCCTCCTCCTCCTCCAACCCAACACCAACTCCAACTCCAAAACACTCCGCTGATCCCAATCAATCCGGCACCGAAAAGAAATCGCGCGACAGAATCAAACATACCCTGTACCGCGGAGTAAGGATGCGGAGTTGGGGCAAATGGGTGTCTGAAATCCGACAACCAAGAAAAAAATCAAGGATTTGGCTCGGAACCTTCCCCACTCCCGAAATGGCTGCGCGCGCGCACGACGTTGCAGCTTTGAGCATCAAAGGAAGCGCAGCCATTCTCAACTTTCCCGAGCTGGCCGCCTCGCTGCCTCGGCCGGCAACCCTGTCGCCGCACGACGTACAGGCTGCTGCAGCTAAGGCGGCCAACATGGATAGGGCCCGCTGCAGAAAAGGCGGCCAACATGGACCCCTCGCCGCCGGCGAGACTCTCTCCGGCTTCTCCGCTATCTCCCGACGAGCTCGGGGAGATTGTGGAGCTGCCACGCCTCAGCGCCGCCAGTTTTCTCGACTTCGCCGGGGTTGAGTTCGTCATCCAAGAGACCCTGCATCCATGGCCGTTTTCGTGGGCCGAGACCGCTGAGGATTCGGCTCTGTTTTCTGATTCGTTTTGGCCGACCAACAGCTTTGAATCAAACTCGAAGAATTAGTGATTAATAAGGAGTCCTTCGGGCGGGGATCGAAGTAGTGCGGGGGAAATCGCTGGTTCTCTCTCTATCTCTTTCTGTGTAAATCTCTCCTTCTCTCTCCTCAACGAACATTCTTTTCTGAGGTTAGAAAAAAAAATTATGGGAGCCTTTGTCAGCATGATGTACGTAGTATGCACACAGATCTGCATATATGTAGAGGTTATTTGGGAGATATTGAAAGTTTATGAATGTGTTATTGGGGTTAATACCCCCAATAACCTGACAAAATTTCCGAATAACAGTCAAAAATATAAGCGTGGAACCACAGAATGTATTGATAGGTTCCAATAATTGAGTTATTGGAATATTATTTTATGAAACACGCACGCAGAAGTACGTGCATATTCAGTATGTAAATAACACTCCTCATATTGAGAGTGAAGGTCACAGGCAATCCTAATGTAAATCCGATAAATCCATTTCTTTATGAAATTTGATAAATCTGAATTTGCGGACGAAATGGTTGTGGAAAAGACGAAACGGGGATAAATTAGGATTAGTGGAGAATTGGATTTCATTTTCATTTCTGTTTTTTTTTTCTTTTTAGATTGGCTGGATTTCAGTTAAATTCATGACTAAATCCTGTTAAAGTTGTGCTACCAAACACCCCCTATATGTAGATAAGATAGGTACATATAAATATATATTTAATTATATGTGATGACATTTGATGTTATTATGGTGATATTATAGTAAAATATCACTACAATACCACCAAATATCATTAAATTCACATGCATGAATTATGCACACAATATTCACTCATGCTTATTTCTTCTTCAATGAATTAATGGAGTAAATATTACGTGTGAATAATACGCATGCAGATTGATGTTACTTTGGTCATACTGATCAGAGTACCACCATAACACAATCAAATCTGCACTCATTCTATCCGCACATAATATTTCTTCAAATCATTAGGTTTGATGAATGAAGAAAGTTGGAGGGAAGAGTTTGTGTGAGCGTCGCACGCTATCTTTGTGTGGAATCTATCATTTTCTATGAACTTAAATATGCATAATATGCCTTCCATGATTTGCTGCAAGGGTGAATAAAAAATATCTTCATAACTTAGTCTTTTTTGGTATGGAACGTACAAAAGGTTTAGGGCACTTCATATTATTTGCCTTTTATTTACACCTGCAATGGCTTTGGCTAGGGCTGTCAAAACATCAAAACGACTCGTTGTTCGCAAATAGCTCGTGTTCGGCTCGTTAAGAAGCTCGTGTTCTGCTCGTTCGCTAAGTTAAAGAGTTGAACACGAACAACACGAACAAATATTTGTTCGTTCATGTTTGGCTCGTTTGGCTCGAAATACTCCTAATCAATTATATATGTCTTTGATGAGTAGTATTTTTAAAAAAGTTTAATTGACTACAAGGCTACAAAGATTTATAATCAATTAAAAGTATTAATGAAGAAAATAGAATAAAAAATATTAAATTAGATTCAAATGATGTTTTAAATGTTGCCCCAATCCTTAACATTTTATGACTACGTGATTAGGTTGTCAAAACGACTCTCTGTTCGTGAACAGCTCGTGTTCTGTTCGCTAAGCAAACAAGCCGAACATGAACACACATTTTGAGCTCCAAATATAAAAGAGTCGAACACGAGCTTTACACCCCTAGCTCTGGCTATTTTTTGCTGAAATTAGAAATCAGCTGGAGGAATTGCTTTATGGTTTTATGATTAGGGATCATTTTCTTGGTCCATGTCGATATATTACCAAAGTGTTTATATATGTAAATATGAAAATTTGTTTGTGAGTATGTAAATACATAAATGTTGTGTGGTGCACATGTAAATTTCCCTTAAAAAAACAGATTAAAATGATTTGAATATGAATATGTGGATTCCACTTGTACGTGAATCTTAAACCAAGCAGCATATAATTGATGAAAAAATATGAATAACCATAATATTAAGTACAATAAATAATAAATAATTAAAATTGAACAAAAGTTAGAAAAATAGGGTGTGCAACACACGTGTTTTTATGTTTAACATATGTTCGATATCGTGTGATTATTTATAGTGATGTTTATTTATAGTTCAAATACTTTCTTGTATTCGTGATAGCCCGTAGCCCCAACAACTTGCAGTCTGTAAAATCCGTAGTTGGGACGACCCAGACGACCGATCCTACATTGATGCCCGACCCAATTCATCCGACTGAGTTGACGATGCTAACAATCTCCCTCCCACGTTTAGCCACATCCACTCGGCTATATTTGTTCGACCACCTCCACTCAACCACCTGCATGCAAATAGAAAAAAGCTCTCAAACAAAAAAATTCTATGATGACATTTCAAGAAAAATCACTCATAATCCTCCTTTTTCATGAAGTTTTTTCCTTAATATGCATATAAAGAGTTTGCCACAAATACTCAGGAAACTTAACCCTCCCAAGGAAGTTTTCAAAAAGTAAGGGTGAAGTGGTCTACGCATTTTGGACTCTACTCGGCTTTTTGAGCCACAATGTCCAAGTATCAATAAAAATCTATCTCCTAACCCGACACATGTCAAGGTCTAGCGACAAGATCCGTGATGAGTAGTGTACAAATCACCCTAATGAGTTTGGATAGCTACATACACAAAAACTGCGATAAGATATGCTTAATACTTCTCGTGTAAGGTGTGGCTCGTCAAAGGCGATGACCTAATCGAGTGATCAAGAGATGGGTGTTGTATAACTTGGGTTAGGTGATAGCATCTCAAACTCAAGCCATCAGCTTTTCCAGCCTCATTTAGTCACTCAATTTTATAGCATCTTCCAAAATTCACCACTCATTCTTAAATAAATTTTTGATCCATCTTTGGCGAGACGAGCAATGTTAGTTTCATTTATATAATTATCTTATTATTTTCGCAGCTACCTTTCAAAGACATAAGAGAATTAAGGAATTAAAATATGCATAATAAAAAGTGTCAGACTAAATTTCTCAAGGGGACAACCCACAACCTAGATGGCCATCAGTATGTACGCCTCACACCGTGGACAATAGGCCCTGCACTGATGACTTACTAGTTTCAGCCAACCATGAGCTAACCTTGTCGACCGGAAGAAAATTAAGCTTAGCCAGTTGGGTGAGAAAGCAACTGCACGACATGCTCATACATGTAAATTATTAGAAATAATATTGTAATACCCCCATTAAATCAGGGTCAAATATGTAACTTCATATATTGCACCATCTCCCCTATAAATAGTGGATCATTTTATGAATAAAATGGATTCGAGGGGCCTGTAAAAACTCCAATTACCTCATATTAATGCCCAGATTCCAAGCAGAAGGTGCCAATCCAAGAACAAGGCACCTAGGTATTAATCCAAGGCTCTTAAGGGTCAATATCCAGCCATAGTTAGAGTGTATGGCTCATAAGCACTAATATAGTGCCCATATACCAGTCCTAAGAGTCCAAATGCCCACTCAAGCCTTGCAAAACAAATATCTTGGCACCAAGGTGCCAATCCCAAAAGCCTTGGCATAAACTAAAGTGCCCACTTCAAGCTAGCAAAATGAAGAGCTTGGCACCAAGATGTTAATGCCAAGAGCCTCAGCCCATATAATGATAGTTCCAAACTAAGAGGAAGGTACCAAGACAACATGCTTCTATGATAAAAAATCTAATCATGAATAAACATTAACACCTGCCTTATTTGGATGGAAATGAAGAGACCTTATTTAAGCATTCATATGAGATGAATATACAGACTTTTTAGGATATAAGGAGGATTCTAAGGTAGCTCCTCCTCGGATTTTTTAAAAGTAATTATTAGGTTATCTTTGGAAAATTTAGTGGAGAGGTCAAGATGGGGAAGCAGAAGAATACTAGAGATTCTATAAGGCTTCCTACTGAGCTTTTCTTTTCCCGTTATTTGTTCTTAAATGTTTTAAACATTTTGATATAAGTTAGTTTTGCATTGTATTTCTCTCAAACAAGAGCTAAAGTTTTTTTATAGGAATTGAATGTGTCTATGTTTTTTTATGTTAGTTAAATCTCTATTCAAAGCATTTGATGTTTATTTTTTCTTTATATATTGCATGTTTTTCTTATATTAAAGATAAACTATTAATTATGGAGATATTGTTAATAATTTTAGAGGTTTCTTCAAAATTAAGGGGTAGGGGACATACTCATATTTAGCAAAAACTGCATAAAGGGTGATTTATTTAGGGAAGAGATAACAATGATAGACTTATGTGATCCCTTTTAAGATCCTTGTTGAGCACATTATTAATGAGGTTGACACATCTTTCATCCTAGCCTATTCTTAGACTCTAGGACATTGTCTTATGCATTTCTTTAATGTAGTCACTTCAGAACTTTTTTATGGTTGAACTCAAACTCAAAATCAAACAATCAACTTCCCTTGATTTAAGATGAACTCTGATTAGTTCTTAACACATTTAAAGTTAAGTTGATCACAGTTAGGTATTCAAGAACTATGAATTGAATCAAACTTCTAAAAATCGAGGATACCCTTAGGCTACACTTAGGGCCCTTGGATCCTATGAATGAAAATCAACTTCTAAGCCTTAGGATTCTTCTTAGGAATTGAACCCCTTGAGTTGGCCTTAAGCCATGTGGCTTGATTAACCAAGTTTGACCAAGGTAACCCATATCAACCTTCTTAGACCTGCTCATCTATAAGTCCATTTAAATTCAATTCAAATGAAAGTAAGTTAATGTTTTACTTCAATTAAATCAAATTTTAACTTAATTAAAATCATTTATTATAATTTAGAAGTGGATTTTCATTCACTTATATGCTATCTTTTTATTTTTAATGCACTTAAACTTAATTCAGTCTTCTTTTTATGTTATAACACATTACACAATGAATATCACAAATAGAGAAACATGTAAGAGAAATATCAAAATTTTATTATGTTTACTTTACGAATATTACAACATATATGTTACTAGATCTCCCTACATGACTTCTACTTACTTAGGCGACAAGTGGGTTTGTGAGTTAGTTGAGGGTCTCCCCACTAAATTTAACAACATGTTCCATATGACAAAATATATTTTCACTGATCTGGTAGAGCAATTGCACAGAAGTCGTGGTCAACATGGCTCGTCTAGAGCGACTTCAAGAGAGGTGTTAGCAATAACCCTCTATATTTTATCATGGAATGAGTCCATGAGTGGTGTCATGGAATGCTTCTAATGCTCATCAGAAATAATAATCAGATACCTCTCAGTTGGGCAAAATGTTCTGATTAGTTTGTCATAAAAAAAACTATAGTACCCAAGGACCCTACATTCTAAAGCACACCCGTGAAGATTTCATAAGACCACCGTTATATGCCATATTTTAAGGTAGTTTTATGTGTTAATTTTTCCGTAAATTTCCTTGAGCCCAATTTCTGTAATATATTTGGTAACTGTTTTAGGATTGTGTTGAAGCGATTGATAGTACACATGTGGATGCA